GTATAGGGGGTTAGGGTACTCGACTCATACTCTGCAGGTCACGGGGTCGAATACTGTTACCGAACATGCTTGTCTTTTCAGCCTTGATATTGTTTTAATATGACGGTCGATCCCCCACTTCCTTGGTAAAAAGGAGCTCAAAAGTTGGCGGTTGGTGGCGTTGACTAGCTGCCTTCCTTCTAGCCATTTCAAATACTCGAGTAGCTTTGCGCGAAATTAACTATAGAAAACAAACCATTATTAAACGAAAGACCTCCTAGATAGTGCTCCGCAGGAGGCAAAGAATAGACCTAAAATGCTATTTCTACACACCTCTGATGTGAAATCGGTAACGGGCTAATTAAGAGGAATGTGGAAAAAAGCTGTTGTAAATAATATTCTTTAACGCACACGTAATTTAATGCACTAGTTGGTACTTCTTCACTCTGTGAAAATTTGAGCTTATAAAGTGTTTTACAAAGACTGGTACACTTCAGAGCCTTGAAATTGGGAGGAGTTTAGAAAAGAACAGAGTGGATACTATGGGTGGATCTGCAACATAAATGGACAGATATAGAAGATATTTGGCTATCTCGAGTTAAATGCTCGAGTAATTTGAGGAATTAACAGAAGGTCTCAGATTATTTTGGGTAATAAAGCAGGGTGAAATGTTTCAGTGAAGCAAAGTTGTCTGCCATGTAAAAAATGTAGTTAACAGTTCATCTCCACTACGAATTATGGCTCAGGTTATTTGTGTCGCTATATTTTACTGTGAGTAGTTCTTCCTGTACAGTTGCACTTTACATCCCTTGATGTTAAATCTTATGCCATCTAAACATAGTATAAAGGACAGCAACAACTGATGGGTAGCAGATACCAATGTGTATCTGCTTGTTTGTGTAGAATTGGAATTTTCAACCTGAGCAACACCTCATGTGCATGTGGGCTAAGTAGCCTGGCCAGGGACCTTTAAGAAAAGTTTTGTCCAGCCCCTTGTACCGTGTTATGTCTGTCACATGTATAACATATCTACAGCTGAAAGTGTAGAATATTTTCAGTGGCATCACATCTCGAATCCTTGACCTCTCCATATGCAGCCCATTAGGTTAACTATTAACCCAGACTCTGCCTGGTTTTGTATAGACATTTAACCATTTACACCTTTTTTTTACGTGCACGTTAATAGCATTTACTTCTTTTATTGAAATATGTGAAGTAAAATTAATGTATGGATGATATTTACAACACTGGTAAAGGCTTCATAACTTTAATGGTTGATATTTACAACATTGGTAAAAGCTTCATAACTTTAATGGTTCGTATACAAAAGAAAAAAAGAAGAAGAAACGACACCCAACTGTTTTCGTGCTAGAACATCATATCTGCTGTCCATTTCAATGAGTTTCTTACCTAAATTTCAAATAAAAATGTATGCATATGCTATAATAATCCTTGTACCCCTATCAGTTTGATTAGTTTGCAACTAGACTTTTTTAAATATATGAGAGTTAGTAAGTGTTCTGTTTGTGAATGGCACATCTGTCGCTTATTTAGTTGCTCCGTATAACTGGATATGCTATATTGATGGAGGATATTATCACATAGTAATTATAAATCCCTCATCAGAAGTACATCAACAGCTTTAAAGTTTTTTTGTTTAAATTGTCGTGTTTTGGATAAAATATATAGATGTAATAGTTTCTATATTTGGGCAGATTCTTTTAGATTCTACAGTAAATGAGTAATTCGAAGTCAGTCAATGAAACGATAATATTGTAACAGTTTCAATTTTTCTTCTGTATTATTCAGTAAAAGATAATAATAATGGAAAGTCCAGTTCACTTAAAGATAACAAACTCATTTTATTTTTTCGACTGGAAATTCTAACAGTTAGCTTAACAAATGATCAATGAGAGACCTATGCTCACTGTAGCTCGTAACTCAATTAGCTCACATGCTTGCTAGTTCTGTAGTATCTATATTACTTCATCAAAACACAAACTCAAAATTTACAAGTTGAAATAAATAACTGTATCAAAGTAACTTACAGACCTCTTCACCGGCTAAAAGACTCACTCTCCACTTCAGATGCAATTTAATTTACTATCAAAGTAACAATACGTTTACCTAATCTAACTCGAACTGTTCTGAAACTTTGGTAAAAATGACAGACGTTAAGCCTCCCTACAGCCAAACAATAATAAAAATGCCTAAATGATAATAAAAAAGCCTAGAACAATAATAAATGTGCTTTATTTCTTCAAGTTCTACGAGTTTCATGGCTTTACGTAACTAACGATAGCCTAACTTCACAAATAAACAAAGACTAAACAGGAAATCCATTGACTTGCTAATTTCGTATCTCCTGTACTTCGTCATGAACAGAAACTGAACATTTAAAGTACTAAACTAAGTAATTGGGTGAAAGCAACAGAGAAAGTAAGCCATGCACTAATTATCAGTTAAACTGACTAACAGAATCATTCAGGCAATAGCTCATTAATTCGGATGCAATTTATCTGACACACTCAAAAATCTACTATCGTCTGCTCCAACCTAAATTGCGGTTTCACACTAGATCTTAAACCACTTGCCGATCACGTGACGTCAAACCTCCCTCTGGCTTAAGAACAATACAAACGACTAAGTTAAATAGATAGTTTACAGCAGTAGCAATTATTCCAGCAATGGCTTTAAATTTTAATTAATATAACAACTAATACGTTCTGTAACACTTATACAGTTAAATATTATAGGCCTTCCAGGATTACTAGATTTACTTTGAGAACAACATAGAATCTTCCAAAGAGGAGTCTTGGATGGTAAAAAAATGTATTTTTCCCACTTATTACTTTGTGATTGAGCATACGCAATAATTCTCGATAAATTTCAAAGACAGAAGAAGAATTGTTAGCAGTGTCTCTTTATAAGTTAATTTTGGGTATCACATTATTGCTCTAACCTGAAGAATTTGTAATAATATCAGTCCTCTCTGTTCTTAAGAACTTATAATTTTGCCTTTCAGTGGGTATTTTGTTGTTCTTATTCGTATTACCAGCGATTTCCTGGATATAATTGTTAACTACTTGATGAACAGATTCAATGTAGGCATCTACAAACTTGTTATTACCTGATGGAGGCTGCCAATGTTAGATTTTGGCATTGAATTAATTACTTTGTTAATTGTCTGTGTTTGTTACAAATAATTCCCGAAGCCTCATATGTCTATAAAATTCCTCAAGGTTCCTGTACAAAGAAACGGTTAGGATAAAGTGTTAAACCACCTGAACTTCAGCAGTAAAGAGATTACAATGCGGTAAAACGATAATGTCCCCCAGTGGGAGAGCGCTAAAATCTGAGGTTCGATTCTCCGCGATTGACATAGGAGGTAGCCCATTATGGCTTTGTTCTCACATAACAGAATCACGTTGTTGGATGTTTAAGAAAAGTTTGTGTTTTCATCCTGATATGTTTGAACGGTTTTCTTGTTTAATAAATATTCTAGGTTTAGATGTTTTAACAAGTTCTGTGACGTATAAATATTATCTATTTTCTGGTTTTTTTTCCTAAACTTTTTTTTAATTGATGTTAATACATCTATATCCTCATTCTAATACAAAATCAATACAATTCTAATACAAAATTGTCATACTGCAGAGCAAAGAAAATGAATCGAACTTAGAGAGTTATTTTTAGTAGAATCATTAACAATTTGGACACATTTTTCTCTCATTCCCTATTGATAATTATAATAATTACATAGCACATCTACCGACTGTTTTGTTGCAGTTTAATTTTTTAAACGATTTAATAGAGGATAACGGGTCTTGTGTTAATTATATGAGTGCTAATTTCTCGGTCGTTTTAAACATGGGAATTTTTTCTTTGTTCATAAAAGAGACCATTCCTTTCTGAGTCTAAATGTTATATTCTGATATTAGCTACTATACAACACATCCTACATATGTCATGTTGATTTTGGTATATTGTTGTTAGTTTTTACCAGAATTATACCACATTAAATCCGTTTTATTATTTGTTTTATTTCTTTGATGAGGGCTGTTATCAATCCAGAAGCTCAGGTTTCAAACATCTATTTCTATATTTAATTCAAATGTGTGACGTTGAATCGTTTTTCTTTCACTTGTCTTTCTTTTTCTCATCATATGACTTAGGTGCAAATTCCGAGAGGGCCCAATTGTTAGCTTGTTAGGAAAGAGTTCCATATGGCACCCCCACCCAAAAATTGTAGAATTGCCTGGATAAAAAAGATTCTGAAAAGGGTTTATTTTAAGGGGCGTATTAGAAAAATTGGGGCATGGCTTTGACAAGCATTTGTGTGAATACATGTGGAGAATATTACATTCTGATAAAAGTAGCCTTTTTTTCATGCCTTTATACAAGTAAAGTTTATCCCCAAGAAGATTGTACATCTAATTAATGAAGTAAGTGGTATAATAATGTATCAAAATTATCAGATCATGCTATTAATATGATTTATTAATACATAAATATTACTTTGATGAATTTCTTTTTAAAATTGAGTGGGGGTGCCATATGGAACTCTTACCGCTTGTTATCCTAACACTCATAATTATACATTGCACAGATTTGGACATTGGTTTGTTGAAGGAACAAAAGAACATCGCAATTAACATATATATATATATTATTTACTGCAAACGAACCAGACAAAAATATTTTGTAGATTCTTATACAATAATTCGAAGAAATATTTACAGTTCAAACACGTCACACACACACACACATACAACAATACATACACATCTCTTAAAAGGCTGTTTGACTTGGTCACGTGTTCTTCAATATCTTAAACTAATTCACTAACAAGGATTTCTAATTCCTGACCTTTACAAAGACTTTGTTCTACTGTTAGTTCTTACAAGTAACTGTGAATCTTCCATTAATTCTTCGTATTGTTTTTGTTCACATACTTCAGTTCTTCTTATCTTTAGGTGCTTTATAAGGTAGGCTTAGCAAGGTCCGGTGGTTAGGGTCCTCGACTCTCAATCTGCGGCTCACTAGTTCGAATCCCCTTCACCGAACTTGCTCGCTCTTTCAGCCGTAGAGGCGTTATAAAATAGAGGTCAATCCCACTATTCGTTGATTAAAATGTGGCCCAAGAGTTGGCAGTGGGTGATGTTGACTAGTTGCCTTTCCTCTAGCCTATCATTGCTAAATTAGGGACGGCTAGCGCTAATAGCCCTCGAGTAACTTTGCGCGAAATTCAAACCAAGCCAAGCTTTGTAAGGTGTATGGTGTAAAGCATGCTATTGGATCATGAGGATTAAATGTGAGTATTTCACTGCGGGTATCACGAAGCATGTGCATGAACCATTGACTTCTATATCTACAGAAAACACAAGACCTACTACTTTGAATCTTAAGTCTTCTGATTTACAACGCTCAAATCAGGGGTTCAGTTCCCCTCGGTAAACACAGCAATTAGCCCAATGTGGCTTTGCTACAAGAAAATACATTTTGAACAACAAATTTTGCCAAAACATTTTCAATAAGTAAATGCTTTGCAATCTTTACCGACTTGAAGAAATGGAGAACATAGTTGTACAAACGAAACCCCCCCCCCCCCCCAGTGGCACAGTGGTATGTCTGCGGACTTACAACGCTAGAAACCGGGTTTCGACACCAGTGGTGGGCAGAGCATAGATAGCCCTTGAGTAGCTTTGTGCATAATTAAGAACAAACGAAAATAATATTTTTGTCTGATTAACAATAATTCCCGTCTTACAAAAAAATAGGAAATACGTTTTATCCTTCTGCCGTTTAATACATTTTACTCACTTGATGGTTGTAACCACCAAAAGTATGAAACAGATTTATCGAAACTTTGCTGTCAGTAAAGGATCACGACATGAAGTGGGCAGGTACAAGGTTTTATGACGAATACAATATAACTTCTAAGGATGAGAAAGATATCGAATTATTATGAACACTTCAGAATGTTATACTTACGTTGACACTTGAGGGATATCATATCCAGGATCCATGAAGTGCTTGCCTGCTGATACTGCTGCTGTTAGTAGAAAGTTGTGTTTTCTGAACTCCGTCTTAGTTTCCTGTGTAGACAAAATGTTTTGAAGTAGTTAGCAGAAGACACAACAACAGCAAACTATACTGAAATGAAATCAGTTGTCCTATGAACAACTGATACTTTTAACTTTAAATCTATTAGAAATTCAGCATAAACATCGCCCCTGATTCTTCAATATTTTTCATCGTTTATTTATATTGATACTTGGCGCGAAGTTCTAGAGAGCTACGTAACTGTGATAGATTTTTTCTGTTAAAATAACTGTAGTAACAGTGACACCTTCTGTTCAAAAGTTCAGAACTAAAAATTAACTCACTAGAATAACATACTGCCATAAATCAATATAAAAACAACAAACAAACTAGAATATATAAATTATAATACGTTGTTTCGCCAATTCGGTAACCTCGATATTATTTGAAATTGTTTATTTTTTTTTTGTATTTTAGGTCATATTTGTGCAAAAATCTTCAACTTGAAATAAATACAAATTAGTCTAATAAAGTAAAGTATTCAAGTGGAAAGGTGTACGTACCAGGCTAAAACACGACGGATTAAATTGGTACTGCAGTCTAATCAAATAAAACTGTTTGTATAAACATTATACATTATAAAGTCTAGCCTAAAAGCCCCCCAGTGGCACAGTGGTATGTCTGCGGACTTACAACGCTAGAAACCTGGTTTCGATATCCGTGGTGGGCAGAGCACAGATAGCCCTTGTGTAGCTTTGTCCATAATTAAAAACAAAACTAGCCTAAAATGTTTCTTTTATTGGCGGGTCGTGATACTTGAGCGACATATAAGAGCCATACTATTAAATAAGCTGTAAATATATATCGTAAACACCAGCGCATAGTGCACACATTTTCCCCCAAAAATTTTTGATCTCAAATATGAAGTCGCAGTATACGAGGGAACAGTATCCTTCCAGCATTTTTCAGGTGAAATTTTTAGTGCGAATGTAGCCTCAACATATCTTATATTCTGACGTAATCATCGTTTGTCGCTGTCGGATCACCGGAAGTGAAACTTATATTGCTACGTAGTCATCATTTGTCGCTGTCGGATCACCGGAAGTGAAACTTATATTGCTACGTAGTCATCGTTTGTCGCTGTCGGATCACCGGAAGTGAAACTTATATTCTTACGTAGTCATCGTTTGTCGCTGTCGGATCACCTGAAGTGAAATTTATATTCTTACGTAGTCATCGTTTGTCGCTGTCGGATCACCGGAAGTCAAACTTATATTCTTACGTAGTCATCGTTTCTCCCTGTCGGATCAACGGAAGTGAAAACACAACCACGATGAAGAGGAATGAACAAAAGTCTGAACTCCTGACATTTATCTTTTAGGCTTCAAGTCGTACATCTAGAACGGGTTCATTTTGTCAACTGCACGATTAATATGCTGGTATTTTTTAATACTGATCAATCAAAATATAATCGGGTAAAACGTTTTCAGTTTTTGTGAGTTTTATGCGCTGGGTCGTACGAGGATTATATTATCCTATATTACAATACATTCAATTGTAGTCACTCTGTTATACTTTGTGAATATGGAATTGTTTTAAATACACGTATACATAAATTATAGGTGATCATAAGTTCAGCCTTTGTTTTTTTCAGTAAGTAATATGGTTATTAAATAAAAAATGTTATTAACTCACACTTGCACGTACAATTACTAATGAACTCAACAACACACCACTCACAAGTCAAAAGCTGATCAGCTATTAGAATTGCTCTGCGCACTATACGAAGGTGTATTGATTTTTCCTAGTATGTGAGGCCAAAAATGTACTGCACGCTATACGTGGGTACTTACGGTGTTGTCTTATGACATTGCTCGCTATACGCGGGTACTTACGGTATTATCTTATGACATTGCACGCTATTCGTGGGCACTTACGGTATTATCTTATGATACTGCACGCTATACGTGGGCACTTACGGTATTATCTTATCATACTGCACGCTATACGTGGGCACTTACGGTATCAATTTATGATACTGCACGCTATACGTGGGCATATACGGTATTATCTTATGATACTGCCCGCTATACGTGAATACTCACGGTATTATTTTATGATACTGCACGCTATACGTGGACATTTACGGTATTATCTTATGATACTTTCGGTATTATCTTATGACATTGCACGCTATACGTGGGTACTTACGGTATTATCTTATGATACTGCACGCTATACGTGAGTACTTACGTTATTATCTTATGACATTGCACGCTATACGTGGGTACTTACGGTATTATCTTATGATACTGCACGCTATACGTGAGTACTTACGGCATTATCTTATGATACTGCACGCTATACGTGGGTACTTACGGTACTGTCTTATGACATTGCACGCTTTACGTGGGCACTTACGGTATTGTCTTATGACATTGATAGGATAAAGTGCTGTAATTTTACCTGAAGAAGCGTCACAAAGTTCTGTTTATCTTGTGGTTTTCCACCTCGAGCAGCAGGGTATTCCCAGTCTAAGTCCAAACCGTCAAATTTGTGTTTCTTCAGGAATTCTACAACACTTTCAATGAAGATTTTCCTGGATCCTGGATCAGACGCCATATTAGAATACTTCACCGATCCTTCGTTCCAACCACCAATAGCTATCAGAGTTTTCAGTTTCGGATTAATACTTTTTAGCTGATTGAAGTGAAAGTAGGCTCCTGTCGAAAATTCATAATAGGTTACAGATCGAGAATATCATACAGATAGAATATGGTTAAAAGTCACGATAGTTAGAATAGTAGAACGTTCAAATACTGGTCTGTGGATTAGCTGACTTTATTGTGTGATTTAATGTAAGTGACTTTCCTCTGTATAGAATAATTAAACCGTTACCTTTGCCATAGTTGTCCCCTACATCGTTGAATGGGTCGAGTATGCGAATTTTGTTGTCGTTACCTAAGCCTGTGAAACCATAGATCAAGTGTGTGCAGATGAATGGATCAATACTTGATATCTGAAACTTGCCAGCACCAGGCCTGTAAACAGCCCAACTACCGAAGTAACATACGACTTTGTAGTTATGGTTTTGACCTTCGAAATAGCTGAAAACCGGATAAATATGAGGAGAAAAGTCTGTTGGTCGGGCTAGTTTCAAAGAAACAAAATACATAATATTATAAAATTCAACTGTATATCTGAATGTTTTCAAAGTAGTTGAAAAAAAGAAAACAACAAAAATACAATATATGTGTTTTAATGAACGAAACAGGCCCAAACAAAAGAGCGAAATTGAAGACGATGCATAAATTAAAAGGATCCCCAGGGTACGGCCTATAAATTAAAAGGGTCCCCAGGGTACGGGCTATAATGTGGGATACAAATTTATACAGCGTCTTCCATTTCGTTTTTCCTTTGGGTCTGTTACGTTCATTAAAATGTATTTCATCACATGTTTGGATTTGCTGTTTATAACGCACTCTTCTCTTTTGATGTTAATATTTGCTTGAATGTTTAAGTAGTAATTTTCTTGATATATATATATATATAGCTATTTATTTGACCTTTGAGATTACAATTCAGTATCATGAGCTCGATGATGTATACTTTCTCTGTGTCCAGTAACACAGGCCTGCGAAGGTTTATTGCTTTGGAATTTTTACGTGTTCTACACTAATTCCTGTACGCTGAATCTGAAAATGATATCCATTTTTCTCCATCCCATACATATTTTCATCATAACCCAATACATAAAAGAAAGACCACGACACGTAGTTTGAGACCAAAATACGTTTGTTTGTTTGTTTGTTGAATTTCGCGCAAAGCTTGTTTGTTTGTTTTGAATTTCGCGCAAAGCT